CCATAGAACGGAGGGAGAAGAAAAAAACAACAGGCACAAAAAATTCAAATATTATTTTAAACAAGTTTCTTCAGTGAAGCAAACATATTTTGATCATTATGAATAAACATCTGTACTGTCTCCTTGTGAGATGCGCCAAGAAGACAAATTTCACATTCTGTTTCCTGATGATCACTTTAATATTAAAAGGAAGCATGAATCCTGACCTGGCAATGGCATCAATGATGCATAAAGCTCACACAGAACTAACAAAAGACAGGATAAATTCTGCTGTAGCAAGCAGTGGAAATGGCTCCACTCTGTACGTATGAGGTATGAAAAACTAAATGTAGGCACTGAAGCATTCACTCTAAAAAAACATTTAGGTGGTGTTCAAATTACATGATTATTTAGTCATGAATTTGATGTGTTCAGATTTTTTAACAAAACATTTTATTTGTACAAACGACAAACCTGCTCAAGTAGTTTCTTGTTGTGTGAGTGGAGTTTTTCTTAACTGTGATTGGCGAAGTTCTTTGTGTGGGCGGAGTTAGTGTGTTGGCAGAGTTTGTGATAACCGTGACTGATGGAGTACTTCAAATGTGCGGAGTTTGTCCTAACTGTGATTGACAGAGTACTTCGGAAATTTTTTTTCAGTTCAATTCAATCCAAAAAAATTATTCATTTAATTAAAAAAACAACTATATACAATAAAAAACAAAGAAAATACACAAATCAAAAATCAAAATAAAATGAAAGGTAGTAGAAGAATAAATCTTTTAATGTCTGCCCCTTTTATCCCCCAGAATACAGTGTATTCAAACAAAACATAATTTACAAAAGAATACAAAATAAAAATAAAAACATCAACTCCAACAGCAATTCATATAGATTCACATTTTAGTTTTTCATAAACCTTCAGAAAAGTAGCTTTTATCTGTCTCTTAAATATATACATGGATCAGATAATCTTCCAGACCATTCCACAATCCCTGAATTAAACTATACCCTGGATTAAAGTACATCTTTCTCTCAAGCAAGTACAAAAATATGGCTTCACAAACATTTCCATCCCCTTTAGATAATAACAACTGTCTTTCTTAACAAAATTTGCCTGAATGTTGGAAGGTAATATGTTTCTGTAAGCCTTGTAAATAAACAGTAAAATAATATAGTCAACCAAATCATAGAATTTCAAAATTTTCAGTTTGCAAAATAATGTATTTGATGGATGGTTGTAATCTTTTCTCGCGATAATTCTTATGGCTCTTTTGTGTATTACAAAAATTGGATTTGTAATTGTTTCACATGCTTTACCCCAGACTTTTATACAGTAAATTAAATGTGGAACCATTATTGAATTGTACAACACAAGCAGAGCCTTGTCATTGAATAACTCCCTGACTTTATACAGCACTCCTATAGATTTAGATATTTTTGTTCATATGTGAGGTCTCTATGTTAGCTTGTCATCCATGATGACACCAAGAAATTTCACCTCACTGACTTTACAGATCTCAATACCATCTACTTTAAATGAGAAATCAACAGTTGTCTTCCTAATACTAAATATCCTGTAATTTGTTTTATACAAATGTAATGACAATTTGTTTAGTTGAAACCAATTTTGTGTTTTCTCAAATTCTTTCTGTCCCATCTCACACATATTTCTTTTTTTTCTTTGCCAAAAAAAAAAAATCAAACATTTTTCTATATCTTTACCTAAACAAGAAAAATGCTGTTTCGTCAGCAAATACAACACAAAAGTCTTGACACATTTATGTGTTTCAAGTGTGTGTCATTTACAAATAAAATAAATAACTTAGTTCCCAGTACAGAACCTTGAGGGACTCCACATATGATATTACCAAGTTTAGATCTTACACCAAATTTGATTAGTGGAGATAGTGTATGGGCGGAGTTTGAATAATAGATGGAGGTTGGGTGTGGGCGGAGCTTGGCAAAACCATGTTGGATAGACTGTTCTGTGTCAATTTAAAAAAGGAATTAATTAATTAATAGTAATAGTAAAATTATTGTGAATATTTAAATATGATTTATTTAACAGTTTAAAACAGAATAATGTCTCAAATAAAAATTATTATAAACATGTAAACATAATTTGTTGACTCAAATTTCATACAGCAAGCACCTTTTGGTCTCAAATTATGACTAAAATTAACATTTATATTTAAAAAAATACAAGTGCCTCCTGGCTGTTTTTGACCAAGCTACTCCCAGCTGCTATCAGCTTCTTCAAACCCCACCCACAATAGTTAATCCAATTCCAACCAATCGTCTTGAACAAATTATGCCCACAAAAGTCAAACAGACCAATCATGTCTTGGAAAAACTCCTCCCACAAAACAAGACATTCCAACTTAGACTCAGCTGTTAAATGGCAGCTGTCTAATTTTTTCAAGCTAGAGAGACAGAGAGACTCCAAACTGGAAATAATTATTACTGATGGATTTAGTTACTGTGTGTGAATAACGCCTAAACGTTTCACATCTGCTCACCTTTAATGGTGATTGCTTACATGCATCTGCTTTCCCTCAAATATTTTCTCCATTTTTATTTAGGTTTTAGTAAATATATAAACACGATATGCATTGTAGTATAGCTGAGATTGTAACTAAAATCTGTGTTTTTTTTTATCATGTCCCATACTCCAGTTTGGGGAAAAAAAGTGTGTAAGTTACTTCCTGCTGGTGTTGTGACCTCAGCCAGTGCTTTAAAGGAGTGATGGAGCCACAGAGAGAACACTCTGAGTCGGGTAAAGAGTAATGATCTTTGACAGGAGGATTAATATTTCAGATGCAACAGAGGAGAACTTCCTGCACTGGATCTGCTAAAAACAAACACTTCTACAATTTTAACTTCAGCTGAAACAGATCAAAACACTAAATAAGTCTGGATTCACATCAGTTGAAGAGACAATGTTTTAATGTC